AAGCGATCAAGCTTACCGACGTCAAACTCAAAGCCTTTGTCCACAAAGCTGTGGCAGCAGCCCCCAGCCTGGTCGTGCTGCTCCAGGACCAGAACCCGTTTGCCCGCCTTCGCCAGGACAGCCGCCGCCGTCAGCCCTCCGATACCGCTGCCGATCACTACGGCGTCGAGCTCCGCCGGCACCCGATCTGCGCTGAACCCTGGAGAGAGGTCACACAGAGCAGCGATCTCCGTCTGAGAAAGGTTATTAATCATCAAGGCTCTTTAAATTCCTTAAAAACAACCGACCTGTCTTTTTCTCGAACGCATACTTTTTCAGGAATATCAATGAATACATCTTAAATTTTAGGCAGGCAGGATCAGATTGAAGGACCTCCAGTTTCATAAACAGAACTGACAATTCCAAAGCTTTGCTTCATTTCCCAGTATGGTGCCTCTGCAGCAGCCCTGCCTGTCCTTGTGAGTTAAAAAAAAAAGAACTGATGTGGATAAATGGCAATTGAGATAGAAAGAGATACAGCACATAAAAAACACACCGAGTGATGCTGTGTGCATCAAGGCTCAAACAGACATTTTGAGAGCAGTCTTGATAGCCACAGTGCTGAAGCAGGCACAGACACCAGCACCAGAGATTGATACTTTCTCTAATATTGTCATATTCTTTAAACAGCTGGATACATTTTCGGGAATACAGCGCTAAGCTCGTGGTGGAGCACATCTAGTCAACTAAACTGCCAAGTTTGTTTCCTGAACAGAGCCACCTGTCCTGTTCTTTCACAATGTCAAACCCTGATATTATCCAAACCAGATACAAGGGTTCAAAATTTAACTCGGAGGACTTCACAATCAACACCTGAACCAGACGACACATGTGCAAATCGCATCTGAAGCCAAGAACAGGAGCCATTTCTATACCCAAAGGGTTGTGGGAGTGTGCAACAAGCCGCCCAGGCCACATTGTGGAAGCCAATACCCTGGCTTCTTTCAGATAACAGCTCGATGAGATATCTCGTGTCAATTAGCGATTAACTACCCAACGGTCTGGATGGGCTGAGTGGGTCTTCTCGGTTGTAACCGTTCTTACTAGACGTTTTATGACGAAAACCTCCACTGCAGAATAAAAGATGAATCCCAAGTCTGTTTTCGACGCTATGTTGCTCCTTGCCGTTCAAGGACTGACTGTGAGTGAGCAGATTGGTGGCAGTATGTATTAAAGACAGGGAATAACCTCAACAATCCTTCAAGCCCTTTACTGGTCACATGTTACAATAAGACTGGAATGTACTTCTGTCTATAGTAGTACAGCAAAGCAATCTCCTCAGCTTGTCCTAGGCAGCAGTAAATAGTCTGTCACAGTAATCTGCAGTTGAAACAGCTAAGAAAAACTTCATACTAGACTGTCAATGCCAGCTGGATGGCTGTCAGGAAAGAGAACCCAGACAGCTGTCAGGCAGCACAGGGAGAAAACGTTCCTGTGGAAACATCTGCTTTCAGAGCCAGGGAAGCTGTTAACTCACCTTGCTTGAGGACCTTGTCTCTCTGCTTCTGGTCGGTCACCAGCGGGGCCGGTGGCCTCACAGCGTCCCGGGAGAACGGGCTGGCGCTGTTGGCGAACAGGCGGGAATAAAGGGCGAATCCGAGGATCAGGAACCCGGCAGCAAACAGCAGGAGCCACATCTTCAGACAGCAACCCGGTCTGCGGAGTCAGAGAGAAAGGGGAGGGCAGAATGATATCCGAGGTTGAGTGCCTGAGCTCTTTATTGAAGTCTTAGCCTGGGGGGTTGGGAAGCCCGGGAATTTCTAATGAACTTTTAACCTTTTATTATCCATTAAAATTTCAACGCGCTGTCACTCAGAATGGCTCACAACTGTCGGAGAGGTGCAACCTCCCCATGAGTGCAGCTCTCCAGATAAAATCTTGAATTTTAAACAAAACCTAGCTGTTCCCCATTAATTCTTAAGAAGTTCAAGGCAAAGGTTGAAGAATTCAACCCAAAAAGTACCAAACACATTGCAGTATCATTTTACTATACTGTCACAGTTTCAATACTTCACTTAAACATGCGATCTAGTAGTTCAACAGTATATTTTGGGTGTTGATGTACTTTAAAATGCTCCTCCTCTTTAATGCTCATAAAAAGTACACACCATCTTCTGTAGCAGCTCGGATTTCTATTTGTTGCGCTGGACACCTATGAACATGGAATATTTAAATCAGAATGTAGGAAACTAAAACTAAAACAGCCTCAGTGCAGAAACTACCAAATACATCAGTCTTGAGTTTTTACAGCTTTTCAGGTGTAGAACAGGTACTGATAGATACTTACTGACCGCTCAAGTGCAGGATGTTGCATGGAGTCAAAGGACAAACATCTTCTCTGATCACAGGTGGAAAAAAAAGCAGTTATATAAAACAGCATCATAAAATGCTTCCTCAATAAGCAATTCTGCTGCAGTCCAGACTAGGATGGCCCATATCCAAGCTTGGAGGGATCCTGATGTTCAGTCCAAGTCAATCACTGATGCCCTGCTTCAGTCTGGAACTGGCTTAGCTGGACACGTTTACTAGCTGCTCTGCGACACTGGTTTAGGGCGGAGCGGTGCCTCTGTGGCTCAGGATCTGCGCCTGTGGCTGGAAGGTTGCCGGTTCAAATCCCGCAGCCGGCAGAGGAATCCTACTCCGTTGGGTCCCTGAACAAGGCCCCTAACTCCAGCTCTGACCCCAATGCAAAAAGATAAATTCCTAATGCAAGAAATTGTATATGGCTAATAAAATGATCTTATCTATCTCAAAGCCTACGGACACTCCAGGATCTCCAGAACTGGAATTAGACACTTCCTGACACTTCAAATAATTCATGAATTAGACACGTCCTGGTCTGGATTGCACCAGGAATACCAATTTAAGAAACACTCTATACCAGAAATGCTCAACCTGTGCTGTCTGGGGACACCTTGTCAAGAAATAATGAAATAAAACAAAATAATTCATGAAAAGCCAAGCTGAAGTGCCATGAATGCTAGCACTACACTATAGCTATACAGTACATAGCCCAAAATAGTGTCTGTGGCTCAATGCTGTACAAAGATTTACCTGACTAGGTTACTAAATGGATATTCTCAGATGCTTCTTAGGGGGTCTGGCTGAAGATCCCTACAGAAGCCACCACAGTATATACATGTACCTTCAAAGTAGGTAGAATAACACCAGGGCCCAGATACTGCTAAGTAAACAGTAAAAATCAGTGTCTGCCAATGGCCACATAACCAAGTTAGGAAAACTTTACTTTTTGACAATAACTCCACTTAGCCTTTTGAAAAAGAAGGATTTAAACAGCATCATGTTATTTCCTGTGGTAGCAGGCAAGACAGAAACTCATTGTGCACAGTTTTGTAAGGACAGATCATATCTTCCATAAATATTTTCCACCCTGCAGTTACCAGCACATGTAAGCAGAGGTTTCACACTCTATTAGGGAATTCACAGTTTCAAAGAGAGGAAAACTCCGACTTAATCATTGGAAATGAGCAGATCCAGATGCAAAAACTCCAGTGTTTTTTCCCAGGGGCAGACCTTGGGGCACATGTACAAGTCAGAACACAGCTCCTCTATCTACACTTTAAATAAGATAAGTGTTCCGCAGGGGCTGACAAATAAGCCATGGAAATGTCTTTAAAATAGTTCCGTGTAGTTTCTCAATCAATTCCCTTTGCCAGTAAAAACAACCACAACAGCTCCAGTGTGCAATTATCAGGAGACTAAGACTCCTGATTAAGACTAAGACTTAAGCCTTAATATAGTATTATAACAGCTACAGGTCAAGCATCACAGAGAGTCTGGACATCAGTTATTAAATGCCCAAGCCTGTTTATATAATCTCTGTTTCTGCGCAAACTGCAAAAATAGTTTCATCTCTCATAATGTTGATTGTTCAGAAAAATGTTTTATTTGGTCATCCAAGTACAACAGACACACACTTGGGAACAGAAGCAACGGAACAAAATGAGAGGTCATTCAGCTGATCCAGCCTGTTTGGCATGTCTGAAGACTGAACACTTGTGCTGCCCATAATCAGACTACGGTAGGACCCTCAAACCTGCTAATGCTGTGTTGGTGAACCTATGCACATAAACCCCCAGGTAATAGGGGCCTTACGCCCTACTGGATGCGAGCTGTAAGGAACTGTAACCTGTATAACTGTAAAACCTATAAAGATCTGAAACCAGAGCTGAGGCTGGGGCAACTCTGGTGTAAATAAGCATCCCACCTTGATTCCGTCCATAACCCAGTGCGCCTCACCAGACTCCCACCTGTAAACCTAACCTGAATGATCTGGGTTGTGCTTCTCCTTACTAACCCATAGCCAGTAAGACACACAAGCCCACTTCTCCCTTCCAACCAAAGGGAAATGTAGTCTCTCTTTCCCCAGGTCTAACTATAACCCTCACCAAGCCCATGATTAGACAACTCCCTGTGTTCTGAACCTCTTAATAGAGAAGTTCGATCGCACACAGGCAACGCACTTAGTTTTTTGCTCTAACTGATCTCTGAGGTGCAAGCCCACAGCTCCAAGCCACAGATGGCTCACAGACATATATACTCTTACATTCACACAAGGACAAAGGGTCCACAAACAAGGTCAGCTCCAAAACTTTGCTTCCCCAAGCTAGGCAGCGACGACGAAGACAGACGCAAAATGAAAAGGCCCGCAAGCATCATCGGTAATTTTACATTTTTAATATACTTTTCTTCGACATCAGAAAATGTACATAGTGTTTTTGCTTTCCTAGAACCACAGAGCTATTGCAATCAGAACACCACAACAATACTTGCTTCTAATTCTATACTCTTTTTACATTAAAAACATACAAAATCTAATAATACAAAAAATGAAATAAAAAATCAAAATTGTGAAGTAACAGGAGTTAAGTTATTACAATAAATGTGCAGTATTTGCAGCTGTAGATCATGTAGAGCATGTTTCAGTAATCCGTGGTCAACAGATATGTTCATACAACTAGGATGAAGAAGAATCATCTGGAGAGGAAAAAAACTTTTAAGTATCTTAATCTTATCTTATCTTAATCTTCCAGTCAGGCTCCGTTTTGACTTGTATCTTTGCACCTGCACAGTTATCCACAACCTCAACATTTTTAAATTCAGTGGTTTCGTCTAATGTTGATAACTGCTTTTTACACATACTTAGCTCTCTTAACCCTAAAATGGACATGGTTGCAAATAACACATTTACTCAAACAGGAACGAAGCACCATGAGATGCTTCTGTATTGGTTTTTAGCAGGGTAAAAACAGACTGTGAATTATCAACCACTGACATGAGCTACTCATTTACCAAGTTTAAATGAGCAATTTAAAAGAAACCATATGGATCACAAGGCCAGGTGTTGAATTACTGTAGTTTGTGCACATACTAAAGACTGTTGTTATAGAGATCTTTTGGTTGCTATAAAGGGGGCACCTGGAACTCAAATTACAATGAACTAGTATGATTAAGACAATAAACACAACTAAAATAAACAGATCTGTTATGGCAATACTGGATAGGCATACCATATTATGAATTGGAACTCACTACTTGAGCAATCTTATTCACTAGTTACATGTTCATTATTTATTATTTGATGAAGCTAAGATGTGTTAGCACTTATACCCAATCCATGGGTATCACAAACACTGCCCATGTAGCCATGGAGAGGTTATCTTTTAATGTTTATTCTATTATATATTACTGCATTGCTGACACAGGAGGAATAAGCCCACTCTAGCTTCAGCAGTTATCTCACAGCTTCCACGTTTTCAAAAATCCCTACAATCACAATCCACCATCAATCCACCATCACAATAGACCATCTAATTTACCAACTGGCGCTGAACCGGTGTCAATAATACTTAACTGCTAATTATCCACTAATAGGACCTTTTCTTGGATGATAAGAACACCAGGGAATTAAACCAAGCCAACAGCTTATCTGTTAACCTACAGGACCAGGAGACCTTTTGAAAAACAGAGAACTAGTATTGTAACCTCAGAAACACAGAGATCTAACAAAGAGAGCTGCCAAACGTGGGGAGGTCCTTTAACAGACACTCCAAACCTATTATTCCTTCTGTAAACCACTTGAATTTACATGTGGAGACAATGAATACTCCTATATTCTTCCATCAAAAGCTCTGCTTCTTACGAACATCTCATGTCTTAGGCTTCCGAGCAACTTGGCCAATAAAGGCCTTTTTCCAGAGCTCTGCAGTTCAGAGACTGCCGGCGCGACTCTAGTTATGTCCCTAGTTGACAACGACATGGGTTCAGCTGACCGTTTGTGTGCCTCTGGGGCCCGGCTAGCTTGAGAGGCAGCTTGTCAGTGGGCTTGACCTCTTGACCTCCGAGCTGGCAGTGCTCTCTGAGAGCCACACTGGAGTCTTGTGTCCACTTTGGGGCTCACAGTGTGAAAAGTGTGACAACATGACTGTTCGTTCTCTGGTGGCACGCACGGCAGAGAGGGGACTCGATAACGAATGGACGATTCCAGATGGGAGGTGGGATAGGGGGACAGAAAACGACTGCTGGAAAGAAATTACAGAGGCTTAAGAAAAATCTTCAACTTGAGCACCTACCTAACAGTGACAGGAGTCAATATTTGTTCACTACACAGGTCTTGAACTCTGCATGGAAGGGAAGTTTAAAGAATTGCTATTACTACCCACACACACATAAGCACACACTGCCTCTCCCACAATCTGCAAACTAACATTCATCCTGCCCTTCAGATTTCTACAGCAAGACATCTTCCTAATTATGTCATCAAAACACGGGAAACGTCAGTTGTTTTCTCTGCAGAAAAAGTCACAGTGGCAAACCAGAAAAAGATAGAAATAGCAGGACATTTTGCATGTGTGAAGGAAACATTCCGCAATGAAAAGGCATTTCAGCTTCTGTTAGTGAAACCGACAGATGACGAACAATAAACGAAATTTACAGCTTTTTCCAGCCCTGTCACAGTACAAGCAATAGGAATCGTCTGGTAAAACTGCACAGATCAGATACACATCCTTTGACTGGAAAAAGTTGGGCGTACCCACCATTAAACAACAGCACGGGCACTAAAGAAAGCACTCTCTGAGGTAGGTATGACCACCGAGAACAACAGCTCAAACTATTCTTAGGTATTGTCACAGTCTCATCTGAATTTATTCATTCTAACTACTTTTTAAAATGAAGGTTTGCAACAAAGTCCTTACAAATAGTATACACCTTTCATTGCGGAAGATTTGTATGGTATTTTCATGGGGCTTTAGAATGCTTCTGCTTTGCATGGTTCCACCTCGCATCATGCTGTATCGAGAGTATGAATTATTTACCGTGATTTTGCTCTACTTTATTGCACTTTTTTGTTCCACTGCAGAGCACAGTAAACATTTAGAGCAAGGAGGTTAACCAGAGAAACAGAGAGGGCGCTCCCACTATAAAGAAGAGTCATGGCTAAGACAGGGTTGGGCTAACTTGGAGATATCCAGCACAGAAATCTAATGAGGAAATAATTTACAGAGCACACACACACACACGCGCTTCATCTCATCTTACTTTTGGTTACATCTCCCACAAAGATACAGATATAGAGAACTCTGTGTTCTGTTGAAAAAGTTAAAAATACAATAGAAATGAGGTCTTAAAAAGGAAAATTGTACAAAAGTCAAGAGGAGGCAGCTCAGAGACCAGTAGATTTGACCTCCGGCCAATAGGGGGGGGCAGTAGTTATTCTTGAGGGTGTGTGAGGCCGGGAAAACAAAGAAAAAAAAATTAAATGTTCCCAGCTTATTTCTGAACCGCGCTGACAGAAGAATTGGCAACTCTTGAAGAAGGAATGTTACGGAGCTTCTCGGCCAGTGTTCACGTGTCTTATAAGTTCATTGTCCCTGGTCACCCTTTCGAAGGAAGAATAATTTTTTGTCCGTTTTTTATTTTTTTCGCCCCACTTCATGCTTAGAACCTGTTTCAGGACTGGCCCCACCTCGCCCCCACTCTGCCCCCCTTCCTCCCCGACTCTCGCAGACCCCTAGGCTGTCCTAGAAGACCCAGCTGACCGGGACCCACTGGCGCTCGGTGTTCAGTCTCTCCAGTGCTGCCCGCAGGCTGCGGAAGGCGCCCTCCAGGTTGTCGTTGACAATGGTGAGGTCAAAGTAGTGCCCATAGGCCCGCTGAATCCTCCCACTTTCATCAACCGTCCTCTTCAGCTCAGCGTCCTGGAAGCAGAGGACAGAGACAGAATCAGGAAGGCAGCAAAGCAACATTTCTGTGCCATTTCACTATGGCACTGGGACACACCTCAAGAATGACTACTGCCCCCCAATGGCTGGAGGTCAAATCTACTTGTGCCTGAGCTTCTAGCACCTTTGTCCAAATTCCCTTTTTAATAACCTTGTTTTTGTAACTTTGTCATCACTAACACTGATTATAGGCTAGTATTAACCTGAACTTGTGAGACAATTATCGTGCACTTCAAAGCACTGATAGCTTCACATAGCCTGCTCTCATTTATAACCTTCCTTGTAAGACTCACTTAGGTAGAAGGGGCCAGGGTTAATATTAACTTGATTTTTTTTGTGTATGATGTCAAAGTCACACTCATCCAAAGCAGATAAGTAAAATCATGCAATGATAATCAAAATAATTGAGCATATGACATGAATGCTCATGTTGTTCAAAGAGGGTTTTTGTAATCCCGGAGAGCGTTGCAGTCTGACACCCATGAAGGGTGAAACAAACTGTAACGGCTAACGAATCGGGCATTAACAGGAAAATAACTCATCCTGGCAATAACTGCAGCATCCTGGGATGAAGGCATTAACGGCGTCATCAAGTGAAACATAGTTTTGTGTAATAATAAGTAATAAGGCAAAGACTGTATCAGTTAAAGCAACTATACTACCATATTACTTGCAATAAGAATAGTCTATAAAAGCCAATATCAAATCTAGCCCACTTTATTACAAATTTCCAGTCATACATCATATTTAAGTTAATTAAACAATTGTTTTGTTTGTTTCAGAATTGCAGGCAGTTCTTGATGGGTTAATGCTGTGCAGTTTTAAAAGCCCACCCATCATCAGGAGATCACTTATCCCAGACAGGGCTGTGTCATTCCAAAGCCTATCCCAGAAACAGACTGAGCAGGCTAGGACTGTTTGGAAGGCGAGAGGAAACAAGGGCATTCAGGAAAATTCCAAACTCCACACAGAAGGTGCCCAACTCCTTGTGAAAGAACCCAAGAGCTGTAAGGCACCAGTTTTAATCATCATGTCATCTGACAGCCGCTGTAAAAGTCAACAATATTAAGAATAAATATTATTCACAGTGATGGGAAAGTTACTCTACCTTACAGTTAACTGTGGACGGGACTACTTTTAGAAATCAACAATTAGTTGGGAGTAACTGCTTTGAACAGGTAATGTATGATCGTTTGTAGTACCTACTGTACTGTTGCCAATGACCCTTCAAAATGTTTTTCCAAAGATCATTAAATTAAAAACGAATCCTTTACTCAAGTCACATGTAACTAAAACAGGACTGTTTTTTAAAAGGGTTTAGGAAGGCTGGTGTCCTGGCCAAATTTCACCCTTGGCTTTACCAGTCATGGCCTCCTAATAATCCCCATCTCTAAACTGGCTTCATCACTCTGTTCTCCTCCCCACTGAGAGCTGGTGTGGGGTGAGTGCACTGGCGCATCACCCAGGTGGGGCTGCACACTGGTGGTGGTGGAGGGGATCCCCATGACCTGTACAGGGCTTTGAGTGGAGTGTCCAGAAAAGCGCTATATGAGTGTTAGCATATGATTAATGTTAGCTTACCCCAATACTACACTGCTATCGCATCTTGGAGTAATGTAATTCAGCGTTTGTGAGAATAGATTAATTAATAATTAGTATGCGCTGCTAAAAGCCCAACCAAACTGTCTATGAGGCTCATACTGGAGAGAGAGAGAGTGCTGTGACTGAGGGAGGCCAAGACCTACCGTTAACTGTTTGGTTGCCACCCCGGCCTCAATGGCCGACTTGTTCATGGCTCGCAGGACCTCAAAGTCTGGCGCCTCGATGAACACCACGTAGGGCAGGAACTCGGACGTCCTGAGCACCTTCAGAGCCTGCGGGGGGGGAGCACAAGAACAGCTCAACGACGCTTTCCAAACCTGGGAAAGCCGCTTTCAGCCGGGATTATGCCTTCTTCCTGAAAAGCCCAGAATAAAACCGGGAGAAGCCAGGCACAGTGAAGGGAGGGTAGGTACTGGTGGGGCTGCATTCGTAAAACTCCATTTCCAGCAAAAAAAACAAACAAACCAAGCCAGCAGGGAGGCCAGGACTGGATCCGTGGGAGAACAATTGGAGAGGTCTGGCCCAGGCCTGCTGGTCCACATGCCTCCTGTTTTGCATTCCAGCCCAGCAACCTTACTTAATTAAAACCTTATGTGAACTAATAAGTGGCTTGATTTTTTTTTCAATTCCATTTTAATTTTTCTTGTAAAATGCAATGGCAGAAAGGCAGCCCCCTAGCGTGTTCCAGAGCCGTTAAACCGTTCAAATTTGGCCTGTTGTTAAATGAACGAATAAAATCTTCAATTGTGCAACCGAGAGCTCCGCTCTAACAAAAACCCAGCAGGAGCAGCAGGACCGGGAGCCCCTGCCCTAACAGACAGCGCCATGCGTCCTTGGGTTGATCTGGCCCGGCCAGCCCTGCCAGCTCAGTCAGCTGAAAGGTGAGAGGTGATGGGTGTGGAGGCGGGGGGCGGGGGTGGGTGCAGACCTGGGGGTTGACGTCCAGGGCGCAGACCTTGCCGGCCTCGATCACCTCGTGGATGGAGCTGATCTTGGTGCCGTACAGGTTGCCGTCGTACTCGCCGTGCTCCAGGTAGCGCCCGCTCTTGATGTCCTGCTCCATCTCCGCGCGCCCCACAAACGAGTACATCTGGCCGTCTTTCTCGTCCTCCTTGGGCTTCCTGCATGTGTCTGGGGGGGGGGGGAGACAAGGTCACCGCCAGGCCGAAGGGACGCTGGCGCTCCGGGACTCAACAGCCTCACCCCGGCCATGCTGATCCAGACACCCATGACTCTGAGTGAAGACACGCTTCCCGTTTCTATAAAACAGCCGTGCTGTCCCAGCTTTCCCCTTTATCAGCAAAGCTCCATATTGGCCACACAGTAACAGAGCTCTCTCCGCTCACTGAGGTCGAGTGCACACCATGCAAACTGACTTCATTAAAGGATCTGTGCTGCAGATGGACACAGCAATGGCTCAAGGACATTGTGCCACGCCGATTACACTCCCTTCGAAGCCCCTGCTGTGTTGAAACTGCACAGGACAAACAACCGCACAGCTTCAGATCTCGTTCGGACTGAATCGGCACACAGCCATGCTGGAATTGATTTGTGGCTGGATGTGCGCATCTGTACCAATTCGGGCATTGCGTCAAGGAAATGTGGTAAGCAGTAGACACCACATGTCCGATACCATTCACAAGGCAAATTGTTGACAAGCAGAGAGGTTGTTGCAAAAGTGCTCTGTGTTAAACCCTCTTTTTTAATGGGTAAAACCTGCAGGAATTAGGAATATAGAACAACTGAAAACCATATACAGTATCTATTGCACAGTGCTCTGGTTCATGCAGTACGGATCTTCATAGTTTGCCTTGCAAAATCTTAAAATGCTAAATCTTTAAAAAAATTGCAGGTCTTTAAAAACAAATCACAGGGGTCCACTGATATTGTATTGTTAATGTGGAAATGCTTGACTGCGGTAGTGTATTGCTTTCACTCCCACTCTGTGAGGGCTGAACACAGGAGACGATTCCCTTGGTCAGAGAGTGCTTTCCAGCTGCTCCCAGCCTCTCCGAACAGCCTGGGTCCCGACTGCGCCGTACTCACAGGGAATAGTGGTGCCGTAGCGTGCCGGGTCCGAGAGCATCAGCTTGTTCTTCAGGCTGCGGCGGCCCACACCCTGCGCCCCGATCAGAACCAGCGTCTTCCTGCGGAAGGGAGGCACCTTGGCCACCTCCTCATAGATGAGCAGCTCGTGGCGATCGAACTCTGCAGAGGCCAGGGGTCAGAGGTCAAGACAAGACACCTGGGAAATTCCATTCCCAGACATAAAGAAGCCATGCACTTCATGATACAGACCATCCTGAATGCTAACAAATTCACTACAGCCTTCATCAGGAATGAATACCCCTGCAAAGCTTGCAACAGCTGCAGTGGGGCTGCTGCAATACTGAATGAAAAGATGTCTGATAAAATATTTCTGCTTTACGTTGTGTGAAATAACCTTATCGTTAGAAACTGTGAAATGCAGCCAAGTGAAAACTATGTTAAAATTGATTTTACTGCCGCTATCATCTAATCTACCATGGTAGTTTTTTCTTATTTTAATATACATGTCCAGAGCAGAAAATAACAGAATCGCTCTGTGCCCCTCCAGCACTGCTGCCTGTGTGCGGCTCTACCTGCGTTCTTCGTCGTCAGGTACATCATCTTCTTCTTCCTCTTCCCGCTGATCCCGCCGCACAGCGCCCCTGTCCGGGCAGAGACCGCGAGAGAAACGCCAACGTCAGACATTAAAGACCAGCAGGCACAGACCACCCCCCCCCATCGCAAACCCGCTCTCTTCAATAAGAGACAAAACAGACGAGCTGGCACTGGGACAACAGCTCACCAGGGGGCCACGCTGCGCAGAGGACGTATCAAGTGAAAGACGTGTCACAGATCACAGCGCTCAACTCTTCGATCGGGGCCAGCCCTGGTTTGCTGAGGCAAGATCTTGGGAAGGGGTTCCTCCAGATCATGATTTGCACATACACTACTATTATCGGCTCTCAGCACAACCTTATTTTATTTTATTTAGAACAATTAAATCAATTAACTATAAAACTAGGAAACACATTAACCAGGTTTTCAGCCAGGTGACCCACACAGCATGCGTACAATTGTGGGAAAGGTGTTAACTTCTAGTAAAACGCCTCCGGTAGGCTATGTGTCCAGCCTGAAAATGTGTCCTATCTACCGTTCACTAGTTACAAGGGCCGGACCTGCTCTCAATTGACGCCCTTCCAGACACCCAGTGATTGATGAGCACTGTACTTCCATCATCTCACAGCTTCAGTACTCTGACTCGTTCATCCTCTTAAGAGCTTAATTCCTTCTCCTGCGTATTGGCTCTGTGGCTCAGGATCTGTGCCTGTGGCTGGAAGGTTGCCGGTTCGTATCCCATTCTCCATTAAAATTTTCAGTTTGTCAAGGCAGCCACTAGATGGCAGTATCTCACTGGGCCTTCAGCCGACAGAGAGACAAGGAACCAAAAATTCCCATCAGACCACAGGCCCAGCTGCTGCGTCAATGTGCGAGAAAAGATAAGGCTTTGAAGAAACCCGTTTGAAGTCTCAAAACAATCAGCATGAACGGGGACTTAATCGTCGGTGAAAACAAACAGGTAGACAAGAAGGAGCTACAGCAGCAGGCTTTAATTTCTAAATAAAATACAGATTTCAACATGGCGATCCGAAGGTCATTTACCCTTTTGATTGGCACCTAATGAACCCTAATGTTAGGTAGCGAAGGTCAAGGATTTATTGATGATCCCATATTCACTTTAACAAATGCCCTAATCTTTCTTTCCATCCACTCAATCGGCGTCCGGGAACAGGGAAGACCGATCGGAAAGCTCTGGGTCATACAAGGAATCTCCACGCTGATTCAAAGTGGGCAGTTTCCGAGATGGGCAAGGCACCTTCCATTCCTGTCATGCAGTGAGAGATACAAGATGACTCGTGCAGAATTTGGGTACCAATGGCACATCGGAAACTGCCCTCGGCTAACAGGCTCCTGACTTGAACGCCGTGGCTGCTTCTCCAGTACGTTGGGCAACACTTTATTTTTGAGACCTGATAATAATAAGGCCTCCAGCAAGCATCAGCTACTGGTTGGGAACTCCAGTGAGAGCTGTCTGAAGCAGACAGAAATAAGGTTAATAAAATACTGAATTTCAGTGAACAGAGCTGCAATGATCGACACGTTTCCTGAATTTCTGGAGTTGATTTGACTTCTCCTGCACACACGAACAGCAGCTTTTTGGATGAAGCAGCTTGGACTGCCAGATGCCCAATCACAAAAAGCTGCAGTGAGTGTTGCCGTCTAATTATTTTAAGAGATTTCTTTGTCCTGGTGACAGCAAGGTTACCGATAGGGATAAAAACATAACCCTGCAAGAGCTCACCAGTGCACCAGCAGCTCTGCACATTAGTGTCTTGGGAAGTGATTAGGATTTCAGAAGCTACAGTACATCTGTAAGCCTAGGAAAACTCTTACCAAAACCCTAACTACACCAGAAAGCCTGATTCTCACAAAAAGCAGTTGGAATCGTACTTTTTCCACATGGATGCTACACTTAGAAAGCCAAAATGTTCATTGTTTTGCCCACTTCTAGCAGTAAGTACATTGACATATCTGATGCTTGACCGCTTTAATGCACACACAGTATAAATGCAAGGGTGGGGTAGCAGAGGAACAGGCAAGAGCTCGTACCTGCTGCAGCCAGCTCCAGGTCCCTCTTGACGAAGGCCTTTCTCTTCTCCTCTAGGAGCTGGCTGGGAATGAGGCCTGCACTACCCCCTTCCACATGGCACGCCTGGCCGG